ATTGTATTCTTCCCCTCCTCAGCACTACTCTCTAAGGCCTCCTTGGGAGTTACTGGTTCCCCCGGAGAGAAGAACATGAAGGCACACTCCTCGTGGTCACTTTCCTCATCATCTCCAACCATCATTGCCGCTCCGGCCAAGGCTGTCTTGCCCGGCTTTCTCGGCGTATCATATGTCAACCTATTAGGGGCTTGGAATTTCCTCTTACCCCTTCCTTCCTCCTCAACTGCAGGGACTTGAAGGCCTTGGCGTTGCTGCGGGGTGACTCGGATCCGTAGAGCACTTGTAGTGCGAGAAAGAAGTGTCGGTGCATGCTCGCTCACTTGCTGCACCTCCTCGCCCCTCTTCCTCTGCATTCTTGGCCTCCTCTCCCCAATTAATAAGAGGGGATTGCATTGTGATGGTGCTACCGCTGCTCAGCTCCAAAGGCAGCTCCACATGCTCCAAACCAGAACTCCACGAGCAAGGCGGTGAAGGCCGCCATGGACGAAAAGACCAGGAGCCTCATCGCCAACGAAACGTGGGAAACGGTCAAGCGTCCGCGCGGTGTCAACATCATGAAGAACCGCTGGGTGCTCATGACGAAGTACCACGTCGATGACACGGTCGCTTGCAAGAAGGCCTGCCTGGCCGTGAAAGGCTTCACGCAGGTGTACGGCGCCGACTAAAACGAGACGTACATCCTGGTGGGGAACTTTGTGATGCTGCGAATCTTCCTGTTCACCGTTGCCGTCCTTGACCTGCACTTGATGCAGCTTGACATGGAGAAAGCGTTCCTGCAGAGCAAATTTGATAGCGTCCTCTACATGTACCAGCCCCACTACAACAACGACGGAACCGGCCGCATCTTATCTGGTGAAGAGCTTGTACGGCCTGAAGCTGAGTTCGCTGCTGTAGTACTTGGCGCTCGATGCTGGCTGGAGCAAGAGCAAGGTCGGCGACAACGGAGTGGTGTGCACGCTGCTCGTCAACGTCAACGACCTGCTCGCCACCAACAGCAGCCTCGCGATGCTGAAGGAGTTGAAGGAGCCGCTGGAGGCCGCCTTGAGCTACACGAGATCTGCCCTGTCAAGAAGTACCTCGGGCTGGATATCGTGCGCGGCCGACTGGCGAGGAAGCTGTGGCTTCACCAGCAGGCCTACGTCGACAAGCTGCGTCGGCGTTTCATCGACGAGGAGTAGACCGGGAGAGGCCCGAAAACGCTGGTCTCCGTCGACGCCCACGCATGGTTGACATTCGATAACGAGGAGACCCAATCGTGCGAGGTACTGCACAATTCCAAGCGTGCAATTGGCGAAAGTTACATTTTGAATTAATCCAAAATTTGATGTCCAGTACAGCACAATATTTGTACGAGTAAGTTTTTCTAGGCATTGGTTCGCATCGGTTTTGTCGATATAAATCGGGTCGGCAGTCGTGGGTGGTGCCCATCGTTCCACGCGTGCCGACCATCATATCAAACTGCTCGGCCACGCTGACCCCGTCCTTATAGCTCGAGTAATATGCCGTAGCCACATGCTGTTAGATTCCCTATTTCAACCTTACGATGTAGCTTTGATTATGTTCTCCTTTGGTTAGGTCGGCAAATCTGGTTGTAACATATCTCCATCCGTTGCGTACACTGCATCACACTCGTATACTGTCAGTGCCGATAAATATTTTCCTCAACCATATATGTGCTATATGTACAGGCTCGAAATGATAAATTGGGTCAGTCTGAAATTGCTCCCACGGCCCTTCACCTTGGACGAAAGCACTGTCTACGAAAATCCATTCCAGTGTCATTCTTCACATCAGTGTAGATGTGAGTTGTACACGTGTCATAGCCTGTTTGTGAGTCGTGCATCCAACAGCTGCGAAGTAAATCTCGAGTGTAGCGACGAATCGATGGACGTCGCTGCTTCTGGTAGCCTCGGTTTTAGGGGCGCAAAAATGTTGTAGTCATGGCCACTGTTGCCTATGGTAGCCTCGGTTTCGTGGGTGTCACTATCGTCGCAGGTACACTCGCTATGGCTGCAAACTATTCACAAACAGTGTTGCCAATTGGTAGGGCTCGTTGCGAGTCTGCTCCTCCTTGGCGCGCAAGTGCCCGAATGTTTGCATGAAATAGTCGCCAGCCTTCTCCATTCATGTCGGCATGCCTATTCAGGAATCATGCTAGGGGAATTCAAAACCGAAGCGCGGTGTTATCACCCCTGCCAGTTTTCGGGAGTGTGAACCAACGAAATAAAATTGGGAAGTGTACATAAGCTATGATTACCAAGTGTGAGAGGACCGAGACTTCACTTCGAATGTAATTTTTGAATCCTAGGTACAACCACGATACTTTATATTGGCACGATACAAAAAACGTATCCAGTATGTTTCTAGAATGTACTGATGCTCTATAATTAGCGAAAATGGAGCCTTCCAAGTTCGGTAAAGTCACGCACGCGCAATGTCACTTAACATATTCAGTGCATAATTCCAAAATATGAAACAGTAAAGTAGACAAACAGGAAAACTAATGTGAAAAATAGAATAAAAAAATCGAATAGGAGAAAATAGGACATAACAGACAATCTACTGCCACACCCGCCCTCTGCTGGTCTGTCTATCTTTGTTTGCTTTGGCTCAATTCCATTTTATATCCTCTTCTACGTCTTTGACGTGGTATTTGTTACTCCAGACAGGGTTGCACTGGCCTCCGTAAAGGACGAGTCATTGAGAAGACACGCTTGCACTGACCTAGGTGAGTTCTGTCGCTATCTTGGCATGCATATCACCAGGGTCAAAGCAGTGCGCACCATCACTTTGACTCAACCACACATGGTGCAGCAAATCCTCAGTGCTTCGGCCTCCAGTTCTCCTAGGCACAGCCCATCCCTCTACCTGTTGTCATACGCTCTCAGCCCCTATTCCTGATAAGTAATTTGAACCTAGTGGTCAATATGCAAAGCTGGAGGGATGCCTACTGTACCTGATGACTTGCACTCTCCCATATCTCGCACATTCTCTTGCCATCCTTGCTCGTTTTGTTGCGACTGGGAGACACCGACCTGAACACTGATCGGTTGCTCAGAAGGTATTGCACTATCTGGCTAGCACGTCACGCATGGGGCTTGTGCTTGGTGAGCGATAGCCAGTTGCACTCACGAGACACACTAACGCTTCATAAGCAGACAACATCGAGAGACTCCGGTCCTCTTACGGCTACTATTCAATCATGGCGCTGAAATCTGTCTTGTGGAGGCCCATTCGCTCGTCGTCGGTGGCATTGTCTTGCTGTGAGGCATAGATCTCTGCTCTTGGTGCTATGGTTTCTTAGGAGTTCCACTGGTTGATGTTCTTCCTTATTGGCTTGTGTGAGCTGCCTAGCTCCACCCCGGATCTGTTCATTGATAAGAAGGCCATGAACCCTTTGTTTCAAGGAGCCTAGACTAGAGGGCAGAGCGAATCACATCCAACTCTAGTATTTCTTGCTGCGTGAGCTGAAGTAGTGCAGCCAGGCATGCATAGTTTACTTGTCCTCATAGTCCAACACAACACTGATGATATCTTCACGAAGGCGCTCCCACCTTGTGATTATCAGCAGCTCTGCACACAACTTGATCTTGCATATCGTATGCCCGCCCTCAAGGTACTAATGGTACCATTTCAGTGCATGATAACAATACATGAAATTGTAGTGTGCTACCACACGGGCTGGTCGTAATGTGTGTGCAGGTGACGTGTGAGGCGCTGGTGCGAGGCGTATGAATCACCCAGCCAGGGCTTGTCTACGTGTGCTGGTGCTATCACGCTGGTTGCCCTTATTGTGTGCGCAGGTGGCGTGTGAGGCACTTTAAGCCGTCCTATGGGGTGTATGCATTGTGGAGGCAGGGCTGAACTGCATATGCTCTTGCAACTGCTAGGGATGGCTTGCCCGTGTGTGTTGCTGCTGCTGCACAGGCTGGCCATAGTGTGTGCACAGGTGGCGTATGAGGTTCACCTTCTACCCAAACGCCCTCTCACACTCCGTAAAGCTGCACGGGATGAAGCGGGGGAAGGGCGGGGACAGAGGGCATTGAGGAGGGAAGCAATGTGGGAATGGGAGTGTGTGCGTAGGTGATGGGTGGGGTCCACCTTGTACCCAAACGCCCTCCCACACTCTGCAAGGGACGGAGGGCGGATAGTGGGGGCTGAGCAAATAGGGCAGGTCCATATCGTATGGCCTCGGATAAGCGCCGTCCTATTAAAAGCGTCGGCGCTTATACCTGGAGCATGGCGCTTAGGGCCGGTACTCGATTATAAGCGCACCCCCTAGAAATCCATTATTTGTTATATGCGTATGCATAATTATATTTTGTTTTATTCCGATTTTGAAGCTAGTAGCACACATTCCTTTTGGGTTCGGTTGACTCTCAAAGAATACAAGCTGCGAGTCCAGTCAGAATGTGTTAGCATAGGGGCGGGCATGTCATTGCCCCTGTGTGTTGGCAGAGCATCGCTTGCGCGCTATTCTCATTCCTGACGCTATAAAACATCGACTCGATTGATTGGAAAGAATGAGATGCTCACTTTGGTGCTATAAACATATAACTCAGTGTTTGTCATTACGTAAGCGCATGCGCTTATGCCCAAGACTCAATTACATGTCAGCCCCTAAAAAAAATCGATTTGTACGGTAAGCTCATATGCGCTACTATCCGGGGCCATACGGTACCTGTTGTACACACTTGACACACCCTTACCACCACATATCAATAAATCGGGGGTGCTATAAACATGACTGGGCAACCCCAATATCTAATGTATGATTGACAGATGGTCATATGCACCTGGCCTTGCAACTATCACACTTCCAACTGCAGCCTATAAGCAGCTAGACAAACTTGAAATTTGGATCCCTGCTCAGAAGACACATGGCACGTAAATTAAACCCCCCTAAAAGAGGAAAATTCAACTACATGCTTAAAGGAGCATCTATTTTTGGGGATCGGCAGCTAGCATGTGGTGAATTGACGTTTGTGCAAAGTCCATCAGCTTGGCCTCTTCTCCAGCCAGCTACCCATGCCTTTAATAAAAGATCCAAGGCTCATGGTGGAAGTCTGTGAGATTGTGCCAGTCCCTACAGAAGAGTCGGAGGGAATCTCATCTACTGCTTTACCCGTTACTTCCTCTACTTCTGACTGCTTGTCCGAGCAGTACTTATCAATGAGCGCTGTGAGACGGTATGCAATGTCCTTCATGACAGGCCTGCGAGCACCTGGCGATTTGATGCAGTCGAGAGCCAGGTCTACAATGGCAAGAACGGCCTCCTCAGTTGCGTCTAGCTTGGTGTCCTTCATGCCAATCACCTGATAGTCCTCCACCATCTTGGTTGCCTGAAATGAGTCAGCGCAACAGAAAGAGGGAATGAGAACAAGAAGGTAATGCTAGTGCAAGAAGGAATCAGACCACACAATTTGCACAATATTGCCGATGTGATTTGCACTATATTGCCGATGTGATTTGCACTATATTGCCGATGTGATTTGCACTATATTGCTGATGTGATTTGCACTATATTGCCTGAGTGTTCTGCACAATATTGCCCATCTGTTTTACGTACCCATATTTGTATGTGTGTCTCTTCAACCCGAGGGGGCCTGCCAGTCACCAGTGCCAGAAGCACAATGCCAAAGCTGTAAGCAAGAGAGTAGTTGTGGGTAAGTTTAAGCAGCAAAACAGCCTTGATGCATACGGCTGATGCGAAAGATAACAATCAGATTAAAATCGTGCGAACGACAACAGGGCACGTTTTACCCTAGAACCAACCCTACCAGAAGACATCGCTCTTGGTGGTAACCACGCGTGTGCGGTTGTACTCAGGGTCCACATAGCCAGGAGTGCCGGCCACCCTGGTCTGATTATCCTCCCCGTGAGTGATGCGCTTGAGCAGCCCAGAGTCAGCCACCTTGGCTTGCATGTCGGCCGTCACGAGGATGTTGGCGGGCTTGATGTCGCGGTGAATGATGGGCGTCGCAAACCCATGCAAGTATGCCAGCCCCTCCGCGGCTCCTTGTGCGATTCGCATTCGGTCCCGCAGCGAAAGAGGGTCTGGAAGAGATGATAATCACAGAAATGGGTGCACATAGGGTGTTGCGGATGATGGGCACTTTGAACCCATGCAAGTACGCGAGGTTTTTCGCTGCTCCTTTCACCAGGCACTGTCACTGGGGGAGTGTGACATGGTCTGGAAGGGAGGAGCATGAGATGAACAAGGAGACACTAAGCTGTCACCACAGTGTCTTTGCTCACAGAGCAAAACTCTTTGACAGCTGGGTGGACAGTGGGCACACCACTACGGAAGTTGCTCAGCTGCCTTGTGACGCACATACTGCGACTCACTCTCACTCCTGTAAATGTGGTGCTGCAAGTCTCCATTAGCCACAAACTCGTACACCAGGATCTGCTCCTGATTGCCCGTCTCCACGTTCAGATCCTGGCAGAAGCCCATCAGCCGCACCAGATTCACATGGTGGAGAGACTCGATGGCCCGCACCTGCAGGTGACGCATTCAGAACAAAGCTGCCAAGTGCTTTCCGTTTCCAGACAACACATCTGCGTGTTATCCTCAGTGACACGCTATGGCTAGAAATCATCTTTTGCTTAACCTAGTCGACGGAATCAGCAGCTGGTAAGGGCACGGGCGAGAACGGAACACAGAAAGAGAGAGAGCAGAATTGGGCTGCTTTGCTGACATGTAACAGCAGTGAGACGTGGTGAAGGGCCCCCTTACCTCCATTTCAAAGTCGTTGGTCATCACAGTGGAGCGCTTGATGGCCCACGTCTGCCCCTGTGGCAAGCACCCCTTGTACACGATGCAAAATGCTCCCTTGCCCAGCACGTTGCCCTTGGCCCAGTTGTCTGTGGCCTTCACCATCTGCTGCAGCGTGTACTGCTCACACACGTCTAGACCCTCCCACTTCCCTGCATGTACTCAAAAGAGTGAAAAGAAAGTCGATTGGTGAAAGTCCGAGCTGCAGCTGCAGGAATCGAAGGTGAGTGGTGAGGTAATAGTCTGCACATATAGGCACAGCCTAGGAATAGACATTAAGGCGGAGTCTCACTTGGTCCACGGGGCCACAGCAGGCATGAGAGCATAGCAGCCAGCAGAACGAAGCCAGCAAAGCAGCCCACAGCAATGCCCACTATGGCACCCGTGGAGAGCGAGGACACTGCCGAGGGGTGGTTGAGCAACGAGGGGGAAGGAGAGAGCAGAGGAGGTGAGAGCAAGGGTTACAGTAAGTAGTCCGGCTGCAAGCAGTTAGCAATGGCACATGTGGAGATGTAAAGCCATGGTTGCAGTGTAAATAGAAAAGCCTCTGATTTGAGTAGCTACTAGCTATAGATACGTATTGGAGTGGGGTGTAGTGGAGGAGTTGTGCTCTTACCACTAGAGCCAGCTTTCACAACAGCGCAAGTGCAGCCATTGCCCGAGTCGAGGGCAGAGTAGCCGGGACGGCAGACGCAGGTGAAGTTGGTGTCAGATTTATATGACATAGCTACTGTAGGCTATAGTGGGGTAGTACATATGGGGTACAGCTTTCTAGGGTTTCTACTTGTACCCAACTTTCTCTTAGTCATTTCGTTCTCGTTCAGTTTCTCATGGTATCGGGCAGGTTCCCCTGTGGGAACTGTTCATAGGGCCCACCACCTTTTTTTTTCTGCCCGGAGCGCGCTCTACACTGCCCGAGTCGCGCTCCCCTCTCACGGCCCGGTCGAGCCGCCCTTTCAACCCTGTCGCGTAGCGCTTGCGGCCCCGTCGCGTCGCCCTCGCGGCCCCTTCACGTCGCGCCGCGCTCGCGGCCCCAATCCGCCGCCCTCGCGGCTCCGTCGTGTCGCGCTGCCCTCGCGGCCCTTTAACGTCGCCCTCGCGGCCCTTTTTAGCCGCCCTCGCGGCCTCTTCAAGCCACCCTCGCGACCCCCCCCCCCCTCCTAGCCGCCCTAGCGGCCCCGTCGCCTACCCCTGCGGCCCCGGCGCCGCCCTTCCCTGCCTCGGCGCCGCCTCTGCTGGCCCTCTCGCCTACACCTGCGGCCCCGGAGCTGCCCTTCCCGGCCCCGGCACCGCCTCTACTGGCCCAGACGCTGCTCCACCCGGCCCCAACGCCGCTCCACCCGGCCCCGACGCTGCTCCACCCGGCCTCGCCGCCGCTCCACCCGGCCCCGCCGCCGTCCCCACGCGGCCCCGCCATCACCACCGAGCCACCGGTGCCGCCGAGCTGCTGCCGAGCCACCCGATCCACCCGAGCCGCCCGAGCCGCCGCGCCACCTGAGCCGCCCGAGCCGCCGGGTTGCCGAGCCGCCGAGCTGCAGTTGCTGCCGAGCCGCCGAGCTGCAGTTGCTGCCGAGCCGCTGTACCGCCGAGCCGCCCGAGCCGCCCGAGCCGCCGAATCGCCGAGCCGCAGTTGCTGCCCAGCCGCCGTACTACCGAGCCGCCCAAGCCGCCCGAGCTGCCAAGTTGCCGAGCCGCCGAGCCGCCCGAGCCGCCGTGTCCGGTAAGAGCAGCGCCTCTGTCACTGCACTGCCCTTACCCTACTGCTCGCGCTGCTAGTCTACCGCTGTCATGGCTACCCCTAGTGTCCTCGCTTTTGACGCTGAGGGTCGGGCCATTGACTTTGACATCTGGGTAGATGACCTGCAGCTTTTCCTACAGTGCGATAGGGTAGACGGTCTCTCCCTCTTTGACCTCACCTCTGGTGCCTCTTCTGCCCCTGCTGCTGATGCTGACGCCACTGTTCGCTCACAGTGGGCCACACGCGATGTTGCTGCACGTCTTGCTGTGCGTCGCCACCTGCCTACCTCTAAGCGTGCGCACTTTAGCCAGTGTTGCGCTTGTACCACGCTGTAGTTGCGCACTACTCCTCCCCTGCCACCGCTGCACTGAGCCGCCTCATGCTACCGTACCTCTTCCCTGACCTTGGTGCCTTCCCCACAGTCGCTGACCTCATTACGCACCTTCGCACTAGTGACACTCGCTACCGCGCTGCGCTTCCTGCTGAGATCTGTGCCAAGAACCACCCCCCCCCCCCTAGTACATCACCCTCTACTACATAGTCACCCGGCTCCCTAACTCTCTCCGCGTAGTCAGGGACCACTTCCTCTCAGTTTGCCCCACTACTCTCACCATTGACCTCCTCGAGAAGGCCCTCCTAGCAGCAGAGAAGAGCATAGTCGCTGGAGGAGCCTCTCGTGGTGACCCTCGCACCCCCGTCTTTGAGGGGTGTTCCCCCTCCCCCCTTTTGCCCTCTGTTGCCTCTACTACTGCGGCCGACCTCGTTGGTTTCGAGTCGGTCGCCGCTGCGTGTGGCCCGAGCGGGAGACGCCGCACCGGCAAGGGCAAAGGGGGCAAGGGTGCTGGAGGGGCTTGCGGGGGTGGCGGAGGTGGCGGTGGAGGCAGTGGAGGGGGTGAGGGTGGTGGCGGGAGTGGTGGCGGGGGTGGAGGTGTCGGTGGCGGCAGTGGAGGCGGAGGCGGCGGCGGCAATGGCGGTGGGAGCGGAGGTGGCGGATGTGGCGGCGGTGGAAGAGGCGGCGGCGGAGGAGGTGGAGCTGGTCGGGGTGGCGCTGCGCAGAGGGTCGGCTCCGGTGGTGGTTAGCGCCAGCAGCAGCAGCAGCAGTAGCAGCAGCGCACGCGTGACATCCCCCCCCCTCAGCTACTCCGTGAGTGGTATGCTGCACGCCAGCGGGGTGGGGGTACTGGTCCGTGCACCTACGTCCTACGCACCGGCGACCGCGCGGGTGAGCAGTGCGGGGGTGCGCACTCCACCCAGCGCTGCCTTGGCCGCCTGATGGACGCTTGGCGTCACCAGTTCTCTGAGGCCACTGAGATCCCCCGCTGGGGCGAGCTGTCTTGGGCGGGAATAGCTGTCTTTGACCTTGACTTTGATGCTATTCTTGCTGCCATGTATGCTGTGACTATTAGTGATGAGGGTGACTGTTACCGGTGTTTTCCGCCCGACCCGAGCATTGAGATTGCTGCTCTAGGTACTGGTGAGGCTACTGCTCTAAGTGCTCGTGCGTCTGCTCCCTCAGGTGCTGGTGAGTCTGCTCTCTCAGGTACTACGTCGGCTTCGGCCTCCCACACCTTCACCCTTGACTTGGGGGCTTCTCGCTCCTTCTTTCGAGACCGCACCTCACTCACGCCGCTTGGCCGGCCAGTTGCAGTCTCTCTGGCAGACCCCTCCGGGGGTCCTGTCCTTGCTCACTTCTCCACTGTCCTCCCGTGTCCGGCGGCCCCCTCTGGCACCCTGTCTGGTCTTTACCTCCCCTCGTTCTGTACGAACTTGGTGAGTCGTGCTGACCTACAGGATGCGGGGGTTCACCAGTTCACTCCTGCGAGTCAGTAGGTGACCCACTGCACGGACGCTCGCACAGGCCGACACCTGGCCACGTTTACACGTCGGCCGGGGTCGAGCCTGTACACACTGACCACTGCGTCTCCTCCAGTCACTACGTCTGGTCAGGTAGCTGCGTCGGGTCAGGTGTTTGCTGCGGCGTCCAGGTCTGGTCCTGAGTCTGCCCCCTGCTCGTGTCGCCTCCTGTCTCACGAGACTCTCCTCTGGCACCACCGCCTTGGTCACCCCTCCCTGCTTCGTCTTCGAGGCATGGCCTCCCGTGTCCTTGTCACTGGTCTCCCCCGGTCCCTCCTTTCCCTTCCTCCGGAGCCTGGCCCTACCTATGTCCCCTGTGTCGAGGGGCGCCAGCAGGCTGCCCCTCACTCCTCCCAGTTTCCTCCGACAGAGGCCCCGCTACAGACGCTTGACATGGACGTGTGGGGCCCGGCCCGTGTCCGTGGACAGGGTCACGAGTGCTACTTCCTGCTGGTGGTTGACGACTACTCGCGTTACACCACAGTCTTCCCCTTGCGCAGCAAGGGTGATGTTACTGAGGTGTTGATCGACTGGATCCACGCAGCTCGTCTCCAGCTCAGGCACAGCTTCGGCTCGGACTTTCCTGTTCTGCGTCTGCACTCTGACAGAGGCGGAGAGTTCTCCTCTGGCCTTCTGCGAGCCTAGTGTCGTGGACAAGGCATCCGCCAGACCTTCACGCTTCCGGACTCTCCACAGCAAAATGGGATTGCTGAGCACCGCATTGGCATGGTCATGGACGTCGCCCGTACGTCCATGATGCATGTGGCTGCCCCCCATTTTGTGTGGCTGTTGCGGTTCGGTACGCGGCGCATCAGATCAACCTTCACCCCAGGGTTTCCATGCCGGAGACCTCCCCAGCTTTGCTGTGGACGGGGAAGGTTGGCGATGCGTCTGCGTTCCGTGTCTGGGGATCTCGGGTGTTTGTCCGCGACTTGTCTGCGGACAAGCTGTCCCCTCGTGCTGCTCCTTGCGTCTTCCTTGGCTTCCCCCCTGACGCGCCAGGGTGGCAGTTCTACCACCCCACCTCTCGCCGTGTTCTGTCGTCTCAGGACGTCATGTTTGACAAGTCGGTCCCCTACTACCGCCTCTTCCCCTACCGCACTCCGTCCCTCCCCCCGCCACCGCTCTTCCTTGTGCCAGGTCCCCCCCCCCGGTAGACCCCCTCCCCCCTCAGGGTCCTGCACCTTCAGGTGTGTCCCAGGTAGATGCAGTCGAGCCTGTCGAGGTTACTGGTGACTCTGGTGCTGCTGAGGGTGCTGAGCCTGGGGGTGCTGATCTGGGGGTGCTAAGCGTGTGGGTGCTACGCCGGGGGGTGCTGAGCCTGAGGGTGCTACTACTAGGGGTGCTGAGCTTGGGGGTGCGGAGGCTGGGGGTGCTACCACTGAGGGTGCTGAGCCTGGGGGTGCTGAGCCTGGGGGTGCTACGCGTGGGGGTGCTGAGCCTGGGGGTGCTACGCCTGGAGGTGCTGAGCCTGGGGGTGCGGAGCCTGAGGGAGCTGGGCCTGCTCGTGTGGCGTCTGGCGGTGCTGGGCCTGGAGGTTCTCCGGGTGCTTCGTCTCGGCGGGAGCCACTCTCTCCACAAGAGCTGCGCGAGTGGTTTGCCCGGCGCTGGAGCCGTGCTGCTGGAGCTGGAGGTTCTTCGGCTGTTGAGGGTGCTGGTGCCGCAGGTCCTGGAGGTGCTCGTACTGGGAGTAATGGAGCTGCTGGGCCTGCGAGTACGACTGGAGCTGGAGCTGCTGAGGGTGTTGGCGCTGAGGCTACTACTGTCGGTCATGGAGGAGGTCCTGCTGAGAGTGCTACTGGTGCTACTGGAGGTACTAGAGCTGGAGGTGTTACTTGCGCAAGTGCTGCCGCTGGGGGTACTGGTACTGTCCCTGCTGTGTCCGGAGTCGCCGCGCGGCCTCGGCCGTACTTCGTTCCGCTCCTTCAGCAGGTTCTTGATCTCCCACCTTCTACTGGTCCTCCTCCTCCCTTAGAGTGTTCACAGCCTGTTGTGTCTGTTATAGTCACAATAGGCTCCAATGTGCCTAAAACGAAAGGTAGAGTGCACTGCCGGATTTCTGCACAGCAGCTTCAAACGTTCATAGCGCTCTGGTCACAACTTCAAAGGACCTGATTCAACTTGGATCTGGAG